ATTCAATATGTAATGTTTGTTGGGAGGTTATCAGATTTTAGGATCAAATTGTAATATCTAGATTAAGCAAATATAGGGTTATCAAATTCAATATTTTCACGAATTCCACCTCCAACTAACCTACTTCAGTAGCTAGTTCACTACAAATCACTACAATTTACTTAAACGATAGATATTTTAGGCAATAAACTAAGCCGTAAAACGTGTTCTAGATGGTTTGGAATTGTACCGTGTTTTCCTCTTTTTTTCTCTCGTTCTTACTCCGACCTATCTAAGGTATGGTTCAACGAAACTGTGAGTTCACAGTTCCGTTGCACAAACCTGACAGCCATGATCCAAAAATTAGACGTATATTATTCACGTTTCGGCCACTATATTATTAATTATGATCCATAAACCATGAAAAATTGCTCCATTACTGCGTAACTACTTAGATTTACTGTCCTGCCGTGTTTTTTTAAAGGTAGAGGTGCGGAGTAATAGTCAAAAGTCTAACATTAGCTTCCAAATAACTCTTCTATTATCAACATCGACGTCATCGACCTACCAGAAAAGTGGGTTCTCGCTCTACATGGCCTACCAACACTCAAAAAATTCCGCACGTCATCATCATGTGTCTCACACTTAATTGAGCACTTATTGTGAAACACATCCATTTCATGTGTGAATCTTATGCTGTGAACCTTGCCTCAACACTATTGGTTCAAATTGTGACACACTTGGAGTCTATGTGTTTCGCATGATGATATCAGTAACTTTGCACATCATAGTTCAATGTTCTACAATGTTCTACTTAATCGACTTATACTTTCTCGACTCCAACATTGAATCGACATATACATACATAAACAAAGCTGACAGAGGGCAGAGCTTTTACATGCCTTTTTTAATGAGTCTGATTGGAGAATTGATCCTGAATTGTTGGGGCGTGCTGCTGCCGTTGTTATCGTTCGATCTCACTGGCCCACGGTTGTTATCAAATATGAGACTGGTTGATAATGCAAAACTTGAAGTGTTTCCATCTGTTTTGAACAGTAGTGTGATGCAATGTGTAATACATTGATAGAGAAAGGTCAACATTTCAAAGTTTCAAACACTAGAAAACAACGTGTAGAACACATTGAACTAAAAATCACGTGTTTAAACAGGAAGGAATCAACGAGTCAAGTTTTAAACGCCTTTGGATAAGGTTGTGTTTTAAATTTGTTCTCTGATTTGTGCGTGCATTCGCTTTCATAGTTTTTGGCTGCATTTGCCGGATTAGCGCTGGCACTCTGCCTCCTGGACGGTTATACGTGTGTGAGTGGTGGTTTTCTCGTTTTCCGAGAAGTTTTAGAATCGAGAAAGAAAACATGATTCATCATGTTTGCAAGAAACAGAAGATTTAACGCTATCTGCGTTGTTTGATTTTTTCTCCCGGTCCAGAAATTTGTGACATCGCGAGTGATAATTTTAATTTTAGTTTATTTACGCGGAGGTGATGGTGGTTCACTTGCAACTATTTTTTGAAAAAATTAAGTGTTTTCGAACGAAAGTGTACCACAAGTGCTTCTGAACGTGTTTCGCAGTTGGGTGTGGTGAAATTCGTGCATTCCCGTTTGATTTTGGAAATCCGTATCACAAAATTGCCCACCGATTTCTCTTTTTTTTTACCGTTCGACGACGACGGGTGTGCTTTCGCGAGAGTGACGTTTATTGGATCCGTTTCACGGGTGTTTTTTTTTTTTTGTAACTAGCGTAAGTGTGCCTGCGATTTGCATCGAGTGTCGGAGATTGTGAGTAGACTGAAGGATGTCTCGCTGGATACGCCCAAGACTAGACGGGCGGTAACTGGTGGTCGTGAACGGTTCCTGGGGAAAGCACTAGATGCGAACCTCCTCCCAGATCACCATGGCAATACAGGAAGTATTACAACAAAGGCAATAGCTATTTGATATTTTGCAAACAGTGACTAATAGTGGACAGGAAGAACCAGTGGAAGTGCCGGGCAAAGGTGCTTATCCTAGACAAATGGTAAGTTACAAATTCGCTGTTGTTGTTGTCGTAGGCGCCGTCATAGTCGCTGTCGTAATCGCCGTCGTAGTCGTAGGCAGTACCGTTAGTATATTTAATATTAAACATCAACCGCTGGAAAGATGAATAATCGCGTATTTCTGTTGTTCATTACATTCCAAGTGAAATTCGAGAACGTAGTTTCATTTGAATAGCTTGTTTAACCAGGTCTTAAACAACCGTCACGTTGGTCATAGCTCGTTATGATTGTCTGAACCATGCGTAAAGAGAAAACCGAAACATTGAACGTCGCGTGAAAGTGGATCTTAATGAAGGCCTAAGTACTCTTTCGTAGCTTTTAGTTTTAGGATTTCAAAGATCGTCGGTTGCAGTTGCTTGAGAAAAGGCAGGAGAAAAACGCGGTCCCAGGTCCTTTCATATTAAAAATGTGTGATAAGATTGCTTGTTTATCGTGTATTTTGTAAAACTTTTCGTTGTCGTCGGTGCCGGGTTTGAATAGTTATAAAAACTTGAGTAAAGCTATAATGTGATATTAGGGGCTCGGTGGCCTTAGAGCAACCGGTTTTGCTTACTGAGCAGAACATCATGAGTCTAATCTCAAGCCCATCCACATCCAAGATTCGTCAATCGTTTTATTTGTTAACATGACTACATGATAATAACAGCAACTCGATGATTAAAAAGGAGCTCTTCTGCCTAGTGGCAAACGTTTTTGCTTACTGAGCAGAAGACCGTAGGTTCAATCCCAAGCTCCTTCGCGTTATATGATCGTTAGGACATCAATTCAGCTTATCGTTTACCAAAACGAACCCTGCTGCAAACCCAACCCTTTTACCCAACATCCCTGTGATTTCTCGTGGAAGTGCAGAGGTGTTCTCGGCTTCCATCAAAGCGAGTGTCACGTGAACAGATTCTTACCCCTTCTTTTCTTGACCTGTGTTCGGGCGTGGCCGGCGCTGGTATTGCCTAGTTTGAGATCACCAGTTTTTACACATTGAGGATGATTGCTAGTCCCAAGCATCGTCTATTGGTTCTCTGTTTAATTACAGCTGGTCTGGCAATAACAGAGTAGCAACCGTGGGCGGTCAATCACGCTCATGCTCATCATGCTCATGCATGCTCATAAAATGAAGGAATCGTCTATAAAAGACGAGCCGTCATCATTGAGCCATCATCAGTCTCTCAACGTCATCATCAGTGGACAACTGCGAAGAGTAATGTTACAAAAGTTACAAAAGTGTATCAAGTGGGGGAAAAGTTGGCTTCGGCAATACCTTAACCTATTATCGTCAGGGAGGTAAACAAAGTCCTAGAGCACTCAAATTTGGCCAATAGTTGCTCTGAAACACAATGTATCCACATGCCAAAATTGAGCTCACAAGGACGTTGCTTACCCCCCTGACGATAATAGGTTAAGGTATTGCCGAAGAGAATTTTTCCCCTGCCTGAAAAGAGAGAAGAAAGAAATAAAAAAGAACTTACCTATGATAGTGTTCCCGTTGTAATCGAGAAGTTGGATGAGGGTCCCGGTGGAAGACAAATAATAATTCTGAGAAACTCCAGTGGCCGAAGTTTCTTCTAGGAACGTTGGAAGAAATTACCGAATTAAATTGGATCAAGTTTCCTAGGAAACTTGAGAGAAACTTTCATGCGAAGTCAGAAGATTTTTTTCTTCCTTGATTTGTTTTCCGTCCATCTTTTTTTCCGTGCTGGACCCTACCTATCGACCCATCAACTCATGAACCTGGAATCAACGGCTTTACTTCCCTTCCCGGCGGCGCCGACTGGGATTGAACCCAGACCTGCTGGCGTGAGAGGTAATCACGCTTACCACTACACCAACGCAACGGCACCGCTGAAGTCAGAAGATGTTTCCAGGCGAACTCGGAGGGAACTTCCAGGGAGATAAGAAGAACCTTTCCAGTAAAATAGTAATTCGTAAAACAGGTTTATCACTTCAAAAATTGCACCCGTTTGAAAATATATGGACGATATGATGAACATGAATAAACACATGCTCTTCATATAATCCGGTATCTGACATCACTTCTATTGCAAGCTTTTATCCCAGCTTTTACAAAGCTTTCCATGTGTTGCGTTCGACCCAGTGGCCCCAATGCCATCAAAACAACTCTCTCATTTTCTCCATCTTTTGACATCCACCCCATCGCTTCTCTCGCTCACAGAACAGCATCCCCCCATGGTTACAGGACCAGCAAAGGACACAGCTGAGCTAACGGATGCTGTCAGATCCCGTCCCGTCGTTGATACACGTTCGCCTATTGCCAGCCAGCCAGCCAGCATCCGTCAAGTGAGATTCCATCGGAGAGGACCTACTAGCCTTCGCTGCAGTGCACTTGAAATCAGTCTTGCAGGTCGTCACGCGTCGAACACACTGCCCCAGATATCGTGCGTATAGTCCCTCCGTTTCGATGGTGGAAAGTGTGAAAAGTTAAGGGTATAGATAGAGAGAGAGAGAGAGAGAGAGAGAGGAAACGAGACAGCAGAAGAAGGGTGACGCGTTTTGTAACGGTTTTGAGTTCGAGTTAAAGTCACTGCGGCTAATTATAATTAGTAGACCGATTTAGTTGCTGCTCCCCCACATGCTGCCCGACCGTCCCGGAAGAAGTCCCGAGGCAACGTTGCTTGGAGTGGAAGAGTCATAATTAGCTCATCTTTTCATCTTTTTGCACGTGCTTTCCGTCGTTCGCTACCTGTCCCATCCCCTGGGGGTTGAAGTCAAGGATTTCCTCAGGATCAGTGCTGGAAATGAGCAACTCGTCTACTTGAACTTTGCTGCTGCAGGCACTTACCAAGTGAGGAAAGTTCAAGTTTCACCATCGTCTACTGAAACTTGGATTCAATTGAAGCAGCTCAAGTTGCGCTTACTTTTCGTCGTAGATCTGTTACGAGCGGTAGCGATTTTAGTGCTTTTAATTCGCGTAATTTGTCGAGTGAGGAATTAAGTTACTAGTTATCGGGTCGTGATCCCTTTTAATTTTTTTTTATTTTGGTGAGATATTGAAATCCGTCGTCGCCGAGTGGTACCATCTGCAAAGCTCAACCCAGTGTGAACGCGCATACTTGCCAACGCCGTGTTACATAATTTAATTAAAGGAAAAAGTTAAATATCGGTTTGTGTGAGTATATGGGTGTAGATATTGATCCATTAATTAGCGTGCGCATTGCAAATATATCTACAACCAACTGTGCATAGTGTAAATAGTGAATGCAGATGGAAAGCTCCATTCTTGCAGTTTGTGAACAGTCATAATATTTGGATTACACATTCCGGATCGGTGCGCCGTGAAATCTCCGGATCATTTCATGGCTCGCAGGAAGAGAATCTCGCATTAGCATCAGGTAATTAACGTGGGAGCTACATGTAAGGGGGATAGAAATGGGAATGTATCGTCGTCGATGCCAGCGAGCATGCATGGTATGATAGCGGTAATTTGGCTCTTTCATTAAAGGAACGGGAAATTGAGATGGGACATATATGTGTGAGCTCGGAAAATGGATGCTTCACTTAATTGCTGATATTGCGTTACATGGGAATTTGGCAACATTTTCAAACAATTTTATTCAAAGCTGTAATCCATTCACGCTTCAGGTGGAATCAATCTATATGCACATCGATGAAATTGTGCACCATTTGGGAAAACAGATTTGTTTTCCCATTTCGTTCAACTCACTGGTTCGAGAAAATTAAATTTGCTGCTCGTCAATACAAAGTAAACAGAGAAAAAGGCAACGCAAACACAAATGGGCAAGTTGTTTGGCTCAATCAATTGTAAGGATGGGAAACAAGACTTCACTGGGCATCTGGTAGGATATGTAGCAGCAGCAGCAAAATAAAAAAGTTGGCTTTGTGATGTTCGATGCTCGAAATAGTTGTGTGATTGGATTTCTTATTGCTTGCCGCAACATACTTGGTCCTGAGTTTTGTTTGTGAGGAATCAATTAGATAGATTGGACCTGGCCTAAAAGTTTTATTTCTTTTCATTCTTCTTTTTTAGAACTGGGAACTGAATCTCAGAGTTCGAATATTTGAAATCGTTTATTTATCTTCGAAACAATAATGATTACAAGAACAGCTTCATGATAACCCCTTAAATAACGTAACGCTTTCTTACCCTCCCTTGTTTCAGGATTGAATTAAAAATCACAAATAACAGTTTTAAAAAAGTTTTAGAAAGAAAAGCTTTCATAGAAGGACCACGTGGATTAATTTACCAGCATTTTTTTTTTCGATTATCATTTTTTCCTTCTAGTAAATCTGTTACGTAATATTTCCCACTACCCCCATCTCTTTATGTAACATTTAGTAACGTAAGATCAATTCCCTCCATGCGTTACGTAATTTGTGCAATAATTAGATCCGGATTTTTATATAATACAGTGCGCATCAGGACAATACACCTACCTTGTATAGTATTGCCACTATAAATCATTGTATCTATGTTGTATGTTAACCAATAGTTATAAATGTTAAGGACTTATGTAATGGCCGAAGTGTAATTGTTTCCCGGAATTCCACAAACATTAATTTAAATCTCCTGAGATATTGTAAAATATGTAAGCTTGGATATACCTCGCTGAAAAAGTTGGTTATCTTGAATGATGTAGATGTAGATATATAACGTACAGTAGAAAACTAAACAAACAAAATCTTTGTATTACATTAGGTAATGAAAATGTTCAAAAATGTGAAAATGTAAGAGATTTAGGTGTTATTCTAGATTCTAAATTGACATTTGTGGAACATTATAACACAAAAATACATAGAGCAGGCAATATGCTAAAGGGGGTATTCCCGATCTTTTTTTTCAAAAAATCAAATTTTTTTTTCACGTTTTTTTGTACTTTAGACTATATACTTTCATCCCCCCAAGCCGTTTTCCGATCAGCGAATTCGGTGTCCAGTTTTTCGCGCCTTGAAATAAAAAATGCTGCGCCCGAAAAACGGCTCTCCGCGCGCAACTTTGCGGTCGGGACTGACACTGCTCTGCAGGTATTCCAGACTTACCAATACATTTAGGTGCATGTACGGGCAATAGAGCCAAACGCGTTTTTCTCGAAACCACATTTTTTTTTATCGGGCGAAGATTTTTCTCAGAAACTATAAGAGATATTGACTTGAATCTTTGCGCATTTTGTTCCTTATTAAATTCTTTGGAGCTTCTCCCACTTTCAGCCAAAAATATTAACATTTAACATTGTTTGAAGCACCTTAAAGTTGCAAAAAAGCGGGCTAAAAATCGCCTGTTTTTTCATATGGTCGCCATTTTGTTAATTTGCAAGATTTTTTGCTGCCAACGGGAGAAGCTCCAGAGAATCTTATGCAGATTATTAATTTCATCACGAAATCTGTTTCAGATGAAGCCGTTCCAGAGAAAAGTCTTCGCCCGTCCAGGCGTTTGCGGCGAACAGGGGTCTGTTTGCCGCCATTTTGTGACGTCAATAATGTCTTTTTTTGTGTCGAAAAAAAATTATTTGTAAACTTTAATGTTCAATAAACAAGAACCCCAAAGCGTTAGGTGCATTACTATTCATTTTCCTTGAAAAAAAAAATTGAAAAACAGGCCGAAAAAAGGCAAAAGATTGGGAATACCCCCTTAATTTTATAAAACGATATTAAGATCCTTATACAATAAAATCACTTATGTGAGGTCAATTTTAGAATATTGTAGCGTTGTTTGGTCACCCTATATGAAATAAGCATGAAGAACGAATAGAGTCAATCCAAAAGCAATTTTTATTATATGCACTACTTAAGTTAGGTTGGACGACTTTTCCTCTTCCGTCATATGAAGCACGTTGCTTGCTGATCAGCATTCAAACATTGAAAGAACGTCGGGATTACGGAAAGATTTCTTTATTAAACAATATCATTTCGCAACGCATTGACTCAGCTGATCTATTGTCAAGGTTGAATTTGTATGCACCTTCCCGACAATTACGCAATCGACAGTTGTTCGCAGTAGATCGCCATCGGATCAATTACGCTAAATTTGGACAGTTAAATCAGATGGTGACTGTTTATAATCATCATTGTGAAATGATTGACCTAAATATGCCCTCAACAGAATTAAAAATATATTTCAGAACCCTGCGAGGTCATAGAACATAAGTCCTAATGTTAATATGTAGTCTACGATTTGATTGATTGACGAATAAATAAATAGATAAATAAATACTTATACAAAAAGTAACCCATGAATGGTCAAAACACAGATTTCACAGAAATCACTGGGATGTTGGATGTGGGGAAAGGTTTGCAGCAGCCGGGATCGTTTTTGATAAACTAATGCTGATTATAGTGATTTATAATAGGTACACAAACACATGCATACGTGCGCATACACACGCACACACACTCGCACTCGTGAGTATAAACAGAATATAAAATGATATTAGCTTTATTTTATCTTAACTTTAACATAACTTCAACTTAACTTTAACTTAAGTTTAACATAACTTTAACTTAACTTTAACTTAACTTTAACTTAACTTTGACTTAACTTTAACTTAACTTTAACTTAACTTTAACTTAACTTCAACTTAACTTCAACTTAACTTTAACTTAACTTTAACTTAACTTTAACTTAACTTTAACTTAACTTTAACCTAACTTTAACTTTACTTTAACTTAACTTTAACTTAGCTTTAACTTAACTTTAACTTAACTTTAACTTAACTTTAACTTAACTTTAACTTAACTTTTACTTAGCTTTAACTTAACTTTAACTTAACTTAAACTTAACTTTAACTTAACTTAAACTTAACTTTAACTTAACTTTAACTTAGCTTTAACTTAACTTTAACTTAACTTTAACTTAACTTTAACTTAACTTTAACTTAACTTTAACTTAACTTTAGCCTAACTTTAACTTAACTTTAAACTTAACTTTAACTTAGCTTTAACTTAACTTTAACTTAACTTAACTTTAACTTAACTTTAACTTAACTTTAATTTTACTTTAATTTTACTTTAACTATACTTTAAATTTACATTAACTTTACTTTAACTTCTGTAGGCTAGTTCATCTCTAAGCTGAAAAAGTGAATATTTATTTGACTATATGTTTTTAGTATTACTTCTACGTGAAGTCAACGATTTACATAGTTGAAGATGCCAACCTCAAACAACAGACCGCAGTGGCAATCCTTACACGATAGATGGAGCAGATGAAAGCATAGAGTTGATAGTTCCGTTAGAGTACGGATGGGAGCATACCATCAATTACTGTCAATGGTCGAAAGGTACAGTAGCAACACCTACCCCACCCGTGCCCCCTCGAGATCGTCAATTCGACGATGACAGGAGCACATATCGTGGTAGGGGTAAACAATAGTTGCAATTTCCAAACCTACGTCTGGATGCCTTCCTTCAAATAACAATTGAAGTGCGATAAAAATCGGTTCAACTGGAACGTACTCCCCAAATCAATATATCCGGGAGCACATTCCCGATGTTTATTTTCCTCTCGTAAACCCGTCGTCGTCGACGGGAACTCGGTGAGCAGTATTGTGATACGGAATTTTCCCTGAAAAAACCGCGAATTCACGAATTTCACCACACCCAACTGCGAAACACGTTTAGACGCACTTTTGGCACACTTTCGATATCAATTTCGTACGAAAACACTTATTTTTTTTCTGTAAAAATAGTTGCAAGCGAACCAACAGCAACACCGATCGTACGGAGCTCTTTCACGCACATTATCACTCGCAATGCCACTTTGTCCAAGCACCCTGAAAATTTAATAAAAACTGATTGTTAAACGAAAGAGGCTTCAGTGACGGTTTATAGCTGGTTCATTTGTTCTGACATGCACTATATACAGTTTACCTTAGAGTTGAGCGTACAGCATTCCACAAATTTTAGAAAACCAGCTGAACGAGCCGAATTTGAAAAGATTGATTTCAGAATTTGGCTGTTAGCTCATCAAACAGTTATTGGTTATCGGTATAGTATTGGGCTTGTTTAGATGAGTATGAAAAAAGTTAGAACTGTTATAGAAAAAACGCCTTTTCTTTAAAAAATATCTTGAAATACAATGAACGAAACTTTTTGGTTTTTGGCTCATTTGAAGTTAAAATCCGTCCACCACGAGAAAAGATAAAAATCGAGCGTTTCACTAAAATTGCTATAGATCCATTGGCTGAAAATCAATCTAATGAAAAAAAAAACTGCCCGAACTGCTAGAGGATACACTAATAAAATCCAAAACTTTACCGATCAATCAATAAATAGCTTTCAACCACCAAGAAAGATTTAAAAATCTATCAAATTACAGTGTTTCAAAAAAATGTCCATTCAGGTGTTCGCTCAATTTTGCATCGCAGGTCTGATATGT